TGTTTCGATCAAAGGAAAAGCTGTTCGAGAGTATGTGGATAATGGAGCTGAGTTCTTCACTGTGTTGTGTAAATTATGCTGTTATGAGTGTTTAAAAATCTGTTCTTGGGTAAAGCGTTGGGTCATCTATGGAACATGAATACTTAATGGCCTATTTCCGAGGAGTTGGCTTGGACCCAAAAGCTCATCAGAGACAAAGTCTTGTGATTAATAATAATAATCCTTGCATTTGATTTAGGACAATATGTCATCAACTTCTCTGAAAGCTTCATAGGATTTACTGTGTAGGGTAGTATTTATAGGCAAACATAGCAGCCAATTTGTGATTGTGTGAAGTTCAGTGAACCATCTGTAGAAAATGCTTTTTGTATCCTGGATGCTTTTGATGACAACTAAAGACTTAAATTGATATATTTCCTTTCATCTCTTTCCAATCTCTGGATCCACATTGCCTTTGGGTTGGTTGGATTAAAGCTCAGAGAATCACAATGTTTACAGGACAGAAGGAAGTCTTTCAGCTCCAATTCCACTGCCTGCCCTTTCCTGTACTCTTTTATATTGCTATTCCTCAAATATTAATCCTATTCCATTTTAGCTGCTGTCAAGGACTTAGGCTTCAACGGTCATTTGTAGTAAACCATTCCATATTTTAACAATTCCATCTGTAAACCAAACTCTTCTAACTTCCCCTTTTTTCTTGTGATAATCCTAATGTATGCTCTCTTGAAAGTCTTTACATCCATCAAAAATATTTTGCTCCTTTGCTGGCTTGGTAGATAATGTAGTGTGATAGTGTTGAAAGAGGCTTTTTCTTTTTCACTGGATATTTTTTTCTCCCTCACTGAACAAGAGATACTGAGAGACTGTTTATTTATTTTTGAATTTGAAATTCAGTGGAATCAAAGTCACTGGTTTAGAGCATACCTTAGCTATGTTTGGTATAAAAGCCTGACTTGTACAAATTATATTCAGACTTAATATTTCAACGAAATTAAGTGAACGTCTTAAACTGAATATTGAACATATAATTGTTGAGAAATAATAACAATTCTATTTCACTCCTCCCCTCCACGTGTATTGTGGTTTTATTTCAGATTTTCAGAGAAACAAAGGAAAAGGAGATTCAAGACTTGCTGCGAGCAAAGCGTGAGTTGGAAGCCAAGCTTCAGAGACTGCAGGCTCAGGGGATCCAGGTGTTTGATCCCGCTGACTCGGATTCGGATGACAATCAAACTGATATCACTGGTGAGGGGCTACCCTGAGTGAGAGCTGCCATATTAATGCGAGTTGTTTTTGTTGTTGTTGGCAAGGCTGCAGTTCATTTCTTTGACTCTCGCTCATTCTTTATTTCCACTTGAGAAGAAACTCACCGAGTGGAACTTTTTCTCATTAGAAAAAGGAAGGTTGAGGGAGGAATGATCCAGATCTATAAAAGAGAGTAATAGATGATGGAGATGCAAGCAGAAATAGAGGACGTTGCTCAAAATTTAAAAAGCCTTGAACAGGAACAGAAGAATTATGTTCCCTACAGGGTAGTTGGCTGTGTAGAACGAACTCCCAACAAAAGCAGTTGACTGGCTGTATTAATTAGTTCCTTCAAAAAATAAACTGACTAAGTATCTAATTCAGCACAGCAATGGAGAATGCAATAGTTGCAGCCTGAGATGACAAATACTTGATGGAATGATTTAATAATGATGATCCTTGCATTTGATATAGTGCCTTTAATATCAAAATGTCTCGGAGCTTTGCAGGGATTTTTTTGTAAAGTGTAGTAATTGTGTCTTTGTAGGTGAATATGGCAGCCAGTTTGTACATAACAAGGTTCCAACAACAGCCAAGAAGTGAATAACAAATTTTATCTGTAGGATTGTTAGCCAGGATACTGGGAGAAACTCCTTTCTCCTTTTGAATTTGTCATGGGGTCTTTAAAGTTGAATTGGACAAGCAGATCCAAAGGATAGCACCTCCAGGTTCTCCAAGCATTATATTGAAATGTTAATTTCGAAAATTAGCTCAAATTCCCAACTTTGTCTTTGAGCCCACAATTTGTGTTTGCTTGATCGCCAATGGTGTTCAAGGAATAGCTGTACAAAGCTTTCCTCAGGATGAGTGGGGTGATTTCAGAGGTGTTTGCTGTAGTCCTTGATGGGCGTCCTTTGTACCCTACTTCATTTATAATGTTATCATAGAGCTTGCTTGGGACATCCTCCCAGACCCTGTGTGTGATCCAGGTCCCCCCACCCCGCCCTCTCCCCCCCCCCCCCCCCGGCCTCTCCCCCCCCCCCCCCCCGGCCTCTCCCCCCCCCCCGGCCTCTCCCCCCCCCCCAGGCCTCTCCCCCCCCCGCCTCTCCCCCCCCGCCTCTCCCCCCCCCCGCTCTCTCCCCCCCACTCTCTCCCCCCCCCACGGCCTCTCCCCCCCCGGCCTCTCCCCCCCGCTCTCTCCCCCCCCGCTCTCCCCCCCCACTCTCTCCCCCCCACCCAGGCCTCTCCCCCCCCACCCAGGCCTCTCCCCCCCCACCCAGGCCTCTCCCCCCCCCCGCTCTCTCCCCCCCCAGGCCTCTCCCCCCCCCCCGGCCTCTCCCCCACAGCGCTGCAAACTAGTCCTCTTGAGGGCCGTAACTCTGTCTGTGCAGCGCCTTTGGGACGTCCTCCCGACGTGAAGGTGCTGCACAAACACAGTGCTGTTGTTGTCTTCCTCTCACACTCACTCACTCACACGCGCTCCGCCTCTCTCTCTCTCTGTGTCACTAACGGTCTCGGGGATGAAGTCGGAACCACAGCACCAACTCTTCTTTAAACACAACAAGAACCAAACCAATGAAAACGCACGCGCCGCGGGGCCCTCCGCACTGAGCATGCGCCGCGGGGGGCCCCTCCGCACTGAGCATGCGCCGCGGGGGGCCCCTCCGCACTGAGCATGCGCCGCTGAGGGCCCTCCGCACTGAGCATGCGCCGCGGGGGGCCCTCCGCACTGAGCATGCGCCGCGGCCTCTGACGCCCCCCCCCGCCCCCCGGGAGAAGGCAAAAAAAAATCCCCGGATTGAAATCACCGCCATTGGAGAAGAGGAGAGCGGCCGCCGGAGCCCCGAGACAATCCCCGGCCATCCTCCGCCTGACAGCCCGTCCGACTCCGCCATGAGACCGCTCCACAAGCTCTGCCTACTGCTGCTCCTCGCCTGCCCGCTCACCGCGCCCCGAGGTAAAGCAGAGGCCGGTGTGAGAGAGAGAAACCGCCCCCCCACCAGTGGCTGCGACTCTGCCGCCGGGTTGTCCTGCGTGAGCTGCTGTCGGGAGCGGTGGTGGGGAGAGGGCCGCGGCGCACTCTGAATTCTCCCCTGAACCGACGTTACGGTGGGGGTGGGGGGGTTGTGTCGGTTGGTGGCCGCTGCCCCCCCCCCCCCTCCCCCCGGTGTTGAGCGTCTCTCTCTGGGCCGCCGTGGCCTCTGCTCGGGGATGTGGTGCAGCGAGAGGCCGCCGGACCCCAGAGCTGACGTGTCAGTCCGCCGTGTGGCTGCTCTTTTGGCGCTCCCTCAGCGCTCGCCACTCACACAAGTGTCTGCAGCCACACACTGCCCAGTTACTGTCCCTTCTTTCCCTTTGAATCTCTTCCACCACCACTACACACACACACAGATATATATATACACATACACACAAGAATGGGTTTCTTATATAGAGAGCGAGAAAACCTTCCTCTCTTTGCTCGGTGTTATAACAAAAAAAAACACAGATTTTGGTACTCTTTTCAGTTGAGGTTTGAATGAAACTTTTAGAGAGGAGGAGTTTTTTTTTATTTTAATGCAGAACTGCATCGTCTTGTTGTTCGGTGGAAAAACGGTTGTATTTGTACTTTTGGGTTTTTTTTTAAAAAAAAATTGCAGAGTGTGCCGGAGCTTCCAGTTGAATGGCTGTAATTTTGAAGGATTTTAAGTAAAAAGAATTCAAAATTTTGTGTCAAATCGATGTATTGTCGTAGATGGGCTATAAAGTTGAAACCTGTTAAGTTCATAGTTTGAGGATGTGACTTTTCGTTTCATTAGGGGCTGTCAAAGGAAATGGTGCTGTTAGTATTCTGTAGGTATTGAGTTGGCAATGAGCAAATTAAAACCATACCTTTATTGCAATGTGCAGTACTCATACATTCATTGTTCATTGCAGTTCGCTGTACTGCAGATGTGTAATTCTTATGTTTTTTTCATGCAAGTGCATTTTTTTTCAAAGACGCTTAACTAAACTGCAGAGGCTTCAATTGCTCTTTGCTTTTTATAACTTAGTTTTAACATTCCTTTAGTCTTTTTTTATAAAGCGTCACTTCAGCGTTTAATAAAGTTACTTTTCATTATATTATTATGCACAGTACTATAGTTGAAAGTCTACACAGAAGAACGAACACAATGCAGTACTTGCAAAACATCACACTTGTCAAATCCCCAAACTGTTTACAATCCGACCTGTCTGATTCTGTGACAGCTACTGGGCACATTGTTGGAAGTTGTACTAAGCCCTCTCCTCCTTTTATGTTTCTTCTTACCAACCATCATAATCGATCCATGAAGATTCATTGTTGAATTGGACAAATCTCATTCGATAATTGGTTTTCGGTGGACCATGATTTTAAGTATTGGGTTTTTTTAGCTTTTTTTACTCTTATTTGTTCTACGAGTACTGGTTGTACTCTACCAAATTATCATAATTCCATAGTAGAATTATTGGGAACCTATATCTTCAAAATGATATCAATGCATACTTAATTTCAATGGAGTAAACTTAAGTAATTGAGTTTAAAAGAGACTGGCAGGATCTCAGTGGGATACCCTAAATGAATATGGTGGTTCTAACTCCTTCCTACTGCCTGGCTACATCATTTTAACTAGTTCAATTCCAGCAACAGGCCTGTTTGGGAGTTTCTCATTCCCTGGCTCCTGCACTTGTGTTCTCCAGGTAAAGGTATTTTATTGTGCTCACTGAGTGTTTGATACACAGAAACCCAGCACCATTATTAAGAGTATCCAAACGAGATAGAGATCCACATATATACGCCACGTGGACATATTCCTGTGCTACAATGGATTGAGCACTCTCTCCCTGGAGGGATGTACTCTACTTATCTAATTCCAGAGGGTATTGGATGCAGGTTGCCAAGAACCAAGACTTGAGCAGCCCAGAGTATGCATTGGATTATGGTTGGAGTTTAACCAGTGAAATTTGTGTAGCCTGCTATTGAGAGCACTGTCTGGCAAGCGAGGACAACTGGATCCATTAACACTTTAGCTTGCAGGGTGAATGGGCGCTGTGTGGGAAGAATCCATAGCTACTCAGCAGGACTTGGAAGGGTTGTTGATTAATAGGTTCACCAGTTGGAGGTGCAGAGCTTGAGTTTACCTCTCTGCATGTCGAGCCCTGGGTATACAAGCAGGTAGTCACGAGCTTAGACTCCAGGTAATGCCTGCCAGCAGCTGTCGTCCCAAGCCTCAGAATATCTTATCAACTGCTTAATCCAGGTTCTTATGTGAGGTGTGTTGGCATATAGGCATGCCTGCTGTGAAGCTGTTCAGCAACAGTGTAGGCTGAGCCCTCCCTGCATTGGTTCCCTTTTTCACCACAAATCCACTGACTGCTTGGTCCTGGATTTCACATATCCTTTTCACAAAGGAGATTTCTCTCCTGCATGCCCAGGAGAACTGTTTGAATACCCATCTTGTATGCCTCAATCTTAATTTGTGTCGGGTGATTTGCATGCACCGCGGCAGCTAATTTGTGCATAGCAATCCCCTACAATCAGCCATAAAGTGACTGAACATTTTTTTCTATCTGTGGGATTGTTCAGGACACTGGGAGAAATTCCAATCTCTTTTCAAGTGGTACCATGGGATCTTTAATATCCACCTGAACAAGCAAGACCCAAGTTGACACCGTAGTGTGAAATTGGCATTTCCTACATCTAGGGTGTTCAATTTGTAGGTGGGTAGGACATAGCTATATACCAGAGCAACTTCATTGAATTTAATGAAGGAGGCCCTTTTTACTGTACCAAGTACAGAAGTACCTAAATCCCAGGAACATTATACAGTAAACTAACCTGCATACAAAATGAAACTATCCATTATTCATGAAGTGTCCATCCACTGAATAATTTTATTCTTGTGGAATTAATCCATCTGAAGCTACCGTTTGTTTTTAAACTCTGTATTCCTCATACCATTGTCCAGTTTTATATGCGTTTAACTTGTTTTAATTAGTGTTTATTTAAGTCAAATCCTTTATGAAGATCTGTTCTGAGCTCTTAAAACCTTCAAACTGGAGTAGTTTGATGTAGTAATAATAATACTTGCAATTGATAAAGTGCTTTATCACATCGTTGAGATGTCTCAAAGCGATTCACAGCATATATTATAAAGTAGATTGACTGTATTTTGTGGGCAAAATGTCCACAATGTACCATTTTACTATTGTACTATTTTAGTTGAGCATAAATTTACACTGTGCCTGTTTGTGTGGTGAAGTGATATGGCACCGTGATACACCCGAGTATTTACCACTTTGTGGGTTTATTCTTCTCACACAGCTAAGTCCCAGCTATATTATTAGAGTCCACAAAACAATTATTTAAAATGGGAGAGAAGCTGATCTGAGGGCAAGAGAATAACTTCAAACCTGTTTAATTTCTGTCTTTTTTTAAAAAAAACATTCAAAGCTTAACCTGAAAATGATGGCGATGCCATTTCGAGACATGGCAAAAACCCACTTTTGAAGTCCATTCTTTAAAAGATTGAAGATTTACAAAATGTAACAGTTCTGTAATTGGCCTGTGTTAGGCAAGAGTAAACTTTAGAAACTGCACACAGAAGCCATTATTTTAACTTTGCGTAGTTAAACTATGGAGAAGAAAATGTTGATACATTTGGAATAGTTCCAGAAAGAGGATGGAACATATTATGAAGTTTGTTTTTTAAAAAAAGTTTTATCAATACCTCCAGGGCCCTTTGTAGCTGCAGATGACCCAACGGAGGATGAGGAGGGTATAGATGATTCTGTGGTGGAAGATGAAGATGATGAAGCAGAAATAGAAGAGGATGAGCCAACAGATGTTGTAAGTTCTTTACATCTAAAGGAATTTGGGACTACACTTTTATAGTAAAATTATAGCCTTTTCACTTGATATTCTTAAAATGTAATTATAATAATCCTTTTGATTTCATTTCTCCTTCCTCCACACCCACAATTTTTTACTATTTTTGAGCTTACATTCTGTGCTTGGTAATGAAGGAGTGACACTGTGAGTGTACTGTGTGTTTATTTTGCACCAAATGTTCTTGGAAGTTGCAAATTGATCCTGTGTTTATAAACTCCAAAATTAGGTTCCTTTCTGCCTAAAATATATTTTTTAAATCAGCCTTGTATAAATTTCCTTTTTGCACACTTTAACCTATTGGATAGGGTTTCAGATTTAAGTTTGTTTGGCTTGTACTGCTATGCTATTTCAGAAAAACAAAAATGAATGATTTGTGCATTGAATGCATGTTTTTATATTTTGTAGCACAACCTTGCGCTGCTGTTTGTTTTTCTTTTAAACCAGAATTGTTTATGGATTTAAATATTTGAGCTGATATTCTTTATTGTTATAGGAATCACAAGTTGTACAATGTCTGTACTTGGGGATTTAGCTGACTATGCCTATGGGCACCTCCTCCTTTACCCTGCCAACTCAATGTCTGGCACTATTTCTGTTATGCACTCCACATATTGCTCTATTTGAAGAGCACTACTTAAATGCAAGCTTTTGTATGTTGAAGAGTTGAACATATTTGGTCCATTTATATCAGTTACAACTTGCTTTTCCAACTCGTAAATTATCTTATGCTTTTGCCTGGCTTGCTGCAGATGGAAGATGAAAAGGATGAAGAGGAGGAAGAAGAGGAAGATTTGACATCTGGGGAACCAAAAGCTTCTCCTAATGCTGACACAACAATCCTGTTTGTGAAGGGAGATGGTAAGGAAACTTAAATGTGAAAGAAAAGCTTTCATCTAGTCTTAAACTTACAAAATATACATATCTGTATAACAGCACTGTGAATTTAGTGATTCTTTGTTTCAAAAACACATGATGGCTTTCCTGATGCTATGAGCCATTTCCTGGCTGGATATGGGAAAAAGGCCTGCTCAACCTTAATATTATCTTGGACTTGCTATTGATGCATTTTTTTAATTGCATTTACATTAAATAGAATTCAGCCTTAGTTTTTTCTGACATTTCCCATTTAGCCATCTGACAAAATACTACCTCGGACTAAGTGAACCTATTTCACTGGAACAATGAAGTCTTCTAAAATTTATGACAGATTTGATAGAGTAGATGGGGAGAAAGTATTACCACTAATCAGTGAGCTATTGACAAGAGGGCATCAATTTATGATAATTACCGAAGGGAAAGTTTAGGAGTTCTTTTTACACACGCAGTTAGAATATGAAATGCCCTCCTGAGGGTGGTGGTCAAGGTGAAATCCATATCACCTTTCAAGGAGGAGCTAGAAAGATATCTAAAAGAGTAATTTGCAGGAATATAGAGTAAAGACAGTTAATTGAACAGAATTGATTGCTTTTTCAAGTAGCAAGAATAGACTTGGCCTTTTTCAGAGCTGTGAACTTCTATGGGCACTTTATGTGACGTAGTGACCCTGGTGCTGGGAAGAGAAAATACTACTGCCTTCCTTGCATTCATGCTGGTTCGTAGACATTGGTACAGATCTACCTCTCTCCTTCCTGATCTGGATTTAGCATTGTTACCAGGCTCAACTTAGTGCATTGTTACTAATATGCCACTGGAAAATAATTATAGTTCATAGACTATGCTTCATTGTTTGGAGATACAATACAAAATTACATTTGTAAAGCACCTTTCACGTCGGGAGGGCGTCCCAAGGCGCTGAACAGTCAGATTTTAGGATCCCCGCAGGGGTGGGGGGGTTGGGATCAGGGAGGGTGGAGGGTAGGAGTGTGGCCGAAGGCACAGTCGAAGAGGAGGGTCTTCAGGAGTGCCTTGAAGGAGGCAAGGAAGGGAGCGAATGGAATTGTGGGATAGAGTTCCAGAGGGTCGGGGCAGAGAGACTGAAGGCCCGAATGCCAATGGTGGGGCGGGCCGGATGGAGGACATGGAGCAGGTCGGAGCCTGCTGATCAGAGGGAGCGGACAGGTTGATGAGGGATTAGCAGGTAGGAGGGGGCAAGGCCATGGAGGGCCTGAAAGTGAGGACGAGAATTTTGAACTCTATCCTCTGAGGAATGGGGAGCCAGTGGACCCGGGTGAGCGTGGGTGTGATGGGGTCACGGAGCCTCGTGCAGTAGAGGACACAAGCTGCAGAGTTCTGGGTGATCTGCAGCTTGTGGAGGGAAGAGTTGGGAAGGCCGACAAGCAGGGCATTGGCATAGTTGAGCCTGGTTATAATGAAGGCATGTATGAGGGTGAGCAGTGGCGGAGTTGGGTGATGTTGCGGAGGTGGGGGAAGGCAGAGCAGGTCATGGTACGGATGTGGGGGAGAAAGGACAAGTTGAGGGTCGAACAAGACGCCCAGGTTCGTGACTGGCTTGGTGAGGTGGAGTGTGAATCCTTGGATGCTGATGCTGCCAGGCCCTGAGGTGTGGAGGTGCTAACGTAAGCCAATCAGGAGAGCCTCGATCTTGCTGATGTCAACTGTAGAAAGCTGGCTCTAATCCAGGCTTGATGTTTGTCAGGACATCAGTGGTCCTTGGGTCGAGGGTGGAGGCAGAGTGACAGTGTTGGGTGTCATCTGTGTCAACTTACATGTGGTAGTTGACCCTGTAACTGTGGATGACGTCACTAAGAGGGAACGTGTACAGGTTGAAGAGGAGAGGACCAAGGACAGAGCCGTGAGGAGCGCTGCACAAGATGGTGTGGGGGCTGGAGAAGAAGCCATTTGTGGAAACAAAGTGGAGCCGGTGTGAGAGATAGGATCTGAACCATTCAAGGACAGAACCTTGAAGGTTAAGCTGAGAGGAGAGGCGACGGAGGAAAATAGTAGTCCACAGTGTCAAAAGTAGCAGAGAGGATGAGGAGACAGAGGGAGCCCTGGTCACAGTTGAACAGATTGTGATGTTCTTTCTATATGCTGAATTTTGTGATGTTCAGCACCTTCCGACATCCTCCTGATGTAAAAGGCGTTGTATAAATTAAAGTTGATATTGTAAATTCAAAATTTGTATATGCTGATTCTCAAATTGTTCATCCACCATTAACATCTGCAATCCTCCAATATGTTATCATAATGTTAGTTGGTCAAAATACTCTTAGCCGTTCATGTTCTGAAAGAGCTAATTGGACTATTTTTAAAGATTAAGTGGGCTTTGCATGAAAACCGTGATGGCATTAAATTTTACTAAGATCCTAGTGAACACATTTTTGAAGATGATTCCTGTACATACTGGAGGGGTTTGGGGCGGAGAGAAAGAGGTGAATGAAGAGGGTTAAGGAGGAGAAAATTAACTTTTCAATCTTCATTCCTAATTGCCCAACAGATTTCCCAGCGAACAACATTGTGAAATTCTTAGTTGGTTTTACCAACAAGGGCAATGAGGAATTTGTTGTGGAATCCTTGGATGCCTCATTTCGCTATCCTCAAGATAATCAGTTCTACATTCAGAATGTAAGTACATTTCTAAATCATTATTAATATTTGCTAGGAAATGGGAATATTGTGTTAAAAAGTTAGACACCTGACCATGATAAAACCTTTCAAACCTAGGAAGTAAAAATCTGATGAGCTCCGGTTACATAATGGATTAAGTAAGCCTACTTTGCACATTTGCAAGTATTTCAGTGGTTCCTTGAGTAAAGGTGATTTCTGGCATGGGTTGAAAGGACGCCTACTGTAAACTTGCCATTTAATTGGGGGCAGAACTTGCTCTATTTTCAGTAGCATTTATCTTACTTCAAACCTTTAATGCTTCTGGATGTATTTACTCTTGCGGCTCCTCCATCTTTGGTATTGAATACCATGAGAGATGTACAGGGATATGTTTGATTGTGCTTGGCGAGCACATTTAGCTTTGAAGCCTGTTTTGAGTTGACGAAAATCCATTCAACTCTTCCAAAAAGTAACGACAGGAGCCAGGTGAAGACAAGAAAAAGCTTTCAAATGCAGAAATGTACAAAATAAACATAGAAACTGGGGGAACTATGTACTTTGTGCACATCTAAATAATTTTAAGGAAAATCAAATCATTAATAACTCTAGGTACTATTAAAATCAGAATTTTGTTTGAAGCATGATTTGAGATAGAAATGTTGTGGCTGTAGAAATGGTGCACGCCTAGAGGGTCTGTATCTAAGTTAGCCGCTTCAACTAGGGTTTTAATGTGTGCATTTCTGAGCAAGAGAGGAGCAAAAATGGCCAATGATATTTGTTGGGAAGTGTGTATTTGTGTATTCTCTTTTTTTTTCTCTTTGTACTTTTCCTTGTCCCCACCCCCTGTCTTGTATCTTAACTTGGAATTTTCCTGTACCAGTTATTCTTGCTCTGTGTTTTGTGCTGTTGTGTCTACATGTTCGATGGCTTCAAGTTTACACATATGGGTAAAACTGTTAAGATCATACCTTAAAGAAACTGAATGGAAGAGGAGATATGTGTTTTACCAAGGTACAATTGTGGGTTTGACTTGAAATTATAGATGGAAATTTAATTTCTTGGTCTGGATTTATTTGTGACTTGTGATTTACTGTTCAAGGCTCGAGAGCTATAGTGCCAACTAGAGGAAGAAGATTCGGCAGAAGAGAAAAGCTAAACTTTGGGCCCTGTGTGTGACTGCAGAATAAAATAAAATCAAGAGATTAAAATGATATTTGTTTGTTACTCCTGCAGTTTACAGCTCTTCAACTGAATACAGCCGTGCAGTCTCAACGCCAGGCTACATTTGAGTACTCATTCATCCCTGCAGAACCTATGGGAGGCCGCCCATTTGGATTAGTCATCAACCTCAATTACAAGGACACCAATGTAAGTGTAAGATCATAAATGTAAATTGACAAACCTTTTGTCATATACACTGACACCTCTAATGTAGCATTATTTATAATGCGTTAGGGGCTTTTACTAAGTGTTCAAAGCATTTACTTTATTTTCCAGGGCAATGTGTTCCGTGATGCAGTTTTCAACCAGACTGTGACGATCACTGAACGAGAGGATGGACTAGATGGAGAAACGCAAGTGTTATGATCAAGGCTTCTGGGTTTCGGGATTTTTGTTTCGCATATTTTGGAGTTCTAAAAAAATCTGCAGGGGTGTTTGTGGACTTTCACTTACTTTGATAAGAAGATTCAGATGCGCCTGCGCACACTGAGGGGAGAGAGCCACCTTCACGCATGCACAGTGCCTCCATCCTCACAAACACGTCATCAGCTTGCGCACGCGGAGGGGAGCAGGAGAGATGGAAAATAAGTAATGCGTGCGCAATTGGCTTCGGGACAAGTAACCATTTACGGCATCAAACACTGATTTTCTTTGTATTGGGGTGTTTTATTGGCGAGTTTCAATTAAAACTGAAAATCAGAAGCCCTAGTTCAGGGGGCTCAAACCAGGGGATCACTGAGAGGCATCTTGGAAAAGGTCAATAAAAAAAAGGAAGGAATGATATTTACCACAGTTTAAACAATAACATTTATATTTTATTTTGGGATGCATGAAATCCTTTGTGCATCTGGCTTTGTTTTCATTTGGAGTAAATAATTACGCAATTCTATTACTCCTTCCTCTTGTCTTTTTGACCATGAGTCAGATCGCCACTGAGCGGTGATCAGCTTCTTGGAGATCCCTGCCTTGTTATAATGCAGGTTTTAAATTCTAACCAGTTCCTTTGACCGGATTGCATTAAGTTTGTGGGTGAAGCTATTTCATTCAATTTATTTTTCTCAGCTTGTGAGGTGGTGTTTTTTTTACTGCCATGGTACTCCTCTTTAATACAAGCATACATTTCAGTGTGTGTTCCACCATCTCACGTGAAGAATGTATGTTAGGATTTCTTGCTACTTCCCCCACCCACACACACACACACTTGTGCTGAAAGCAGTCGACTGTTGCTGAGGTTGGCTCCATGAGCACTAGCTGCCCTCCAACTAACCAATTCCCAATGTGCTAAAATGCTATAGTCCTCTATAGCAATATTTTATTTGAATTCATGCTCATTTCTTCCTTAAACTAACAGACTTTTACAAATTCCTTTGTGTTAACATGACTGAACTGGCTACTAAGAGCAGCTTGAGGGTGAACATTAAGATGAGGAATGCTACAGTTCGGATACCCACAGATGTAAATCCACATTCTGCCTCTCTATAGTAATCCACGATTAAACTCCAAATCTCTGTAGTTCTATTAACTCCAAAAGGGTGAAAATCCTGCTGTAACAAATGCATTTCTTTCTTATGGAGGTTGCACTGATCCTGAATTAGATTACCTGTGTTCTAGCATTAATATTAAACTTTTGTTTCTAGAATCTTCATGTATGTGTTTCTGACTGGTCTGGGCTTGCTTGTTGTGGTTGGTATCCACCAGCTCCTAGAATCTAGAAAGGTAAGTGGATTAGTTTGGAGTTCAAATTATACAGAAAGAATTTTAAAAATTTGGATCTGGTAGCGTGACATTGGTGTTTCACGAATATTCTCCAGCAAGTGGTTACTTAAAGCTGTAGATTGTTTTTTTTTAAAACGTAGTTGATGTGATGCAATGTTTCTGACTTTTGACAATGGGTCACATACAAAACTTTGGTATACTTCAGAATGCATGCTTACTGAGTGGTCAAAATGATACGTTTGCCATTCGGGAGAGAGGGAAGAGTCCCCAAACAATTTCAAAATTTGGAAGCCGAAGTCTTATCTGATTATATTCATTGGCCTGTGAACCATCTACCAAGGAACTACCAAAATTCAGCCCTCCCAAATGCAGCCGAAACCCTCATGCATGCGTTTGTCACCTCCCGCCTGGATTACTCAAACACACTCCTCGCCGGTCTCCCCAGCTCCACTTTTCAAAAGATCCAGCTCATTCAGAACTCTGTCAGCCACATACTGACCCGGACCAAACTCCATACCCACATCTCTCCACATCACCGCTCGATCGATACCGGCCTCCTGCTCGTCCCTCGCACCCTCCCCCCCACCATCGGATGTCGCGCTTTCAGCCACTACCCGAAACTCTGGAACACTCTCCCTCAATCCCTTTGCTTGCCCCCCCTCTCCCTTCCCCCCACTCGCCTGTGTGGAGGGTACTATATAAGATGCAAGTGGTTGTTGAAGTAGAAAGTTGGTGATTCTAAAGCATAGTATATTAGCTGGTAACTATCATTTGCTAAAATATGCTACTTTAGTTTAACTTGGGTCAGTATGACATTTGCTTCCAGTCAGTGATCCAGCTGATCATGCAGTGGAGCCCAGTATTCTTGATGATGGCATTAATGTTACAAAGTATTTTTGCCACCTGATCAAAAACATTTAGTAAGAAAAATGTGCAGTTTAGATTTAATGTATCTTTAGCAAAACTAATCATTTGCCATAGTTGTCTGTTTCCACTTTGTGATATTGGTACTTTGTGATGTGTTGGTACATTACATAACTATCTACGTATGTAATCTGTTTTAAGAAGGTGAACATTTGCAGTTTGAATGACCAGCCCCGGAATTGTCATTCTATGGTCATCTTGTTTAACATACAATACTTTTGTAAGATCAAAATGATCTTATGTTTTATTTTTGGTGTACATTTGGGGTTTAAAAATCAAATAAAATTGAATCCTAACTCAACATAGCAAAGCTTAAACTGCATTACTTTGTTTGAGCCCAAGTTGAATTAGCATCGTTCAGTATTGATAGTACACTGGATTTGTAAAGCTGCTTGTCAATCCTTGATGTAGTTGGCTTTGGTATGTTTGAATATAATAGTCACTTCCTAAAATTACCTGTTCATGTGACTGTTGGACATCATTGTTTAAACTGTAACCATAACCTAAATCCACATTTTGAAAACTGATTGTAGTCTTTTCCCAAATATACTGAATTTTAAAATTGTAACACAGCTGTAATAATTTGAATGTTGAAATTGTCTACTTTCACTTAATGTTTTCTTTTTCTCTGTTTCCCAATTCAGAGAAGGAGACCAGTTTCTAAGGTAGAGATGGGTACATCCAACCCCAATAATGTTGACATGAGTTGGATTCCTCAAGAAACTCTAAATCAAATCAGTAAGTAACTTGCAAATTGCTTTGCACTGGTTATGACTCAAATCTTCCAATGCAAAATTCATTGTTTACGTTTTCTCATGTTTGAGACAATTTAGACATAACTTTATTCTGTAAAAGGTATACAACAACAACAACAAGATTCCATTTATAAAGCGCCTTTCACGTCAGGAGGACGTCCCAAGGCGCTGCACAGTTGGGTCATGACCCGAGCAGGGGGGGAATGGTCAGGGTGAGGGAGGGAAGGGAGGGAGCGAGGAGGGGGGAAATGGTCAGGGTAAGGGGAGGGAAGGGAGGGAGCGAGGAGGGGGAAGAGAGTCGAGAGGGGAGCTGAAGGCTCGGTCAAAGAGAAAGGTTTTGAGACCGGCCTTGAAGGAGGAAAGGGAGGAAGCAAGGCGAAGGCACTGGGGGATGGAGTTCCAGAGCCAATATATGCATTTATAAAGATTTGTTCAGAAATGTATTTTTATTTTCAGGATTTGCTCGTTGTTAGAAACTAAGGAGGAAGAGTAACCCACTGGCTAACTTGTCAATTCTCTTCATTATTTTTAACAATTAGATTGTTGTATTCGTGCATGACTTCATTTAGTATACAATTATTTGGGAGGGTTCTTCTCCTTTCCAATTTTATTTCTTTACTCCCATCCACTCAAAGGCACTGACTTATGGTCGAACATGATTCTATGGATGCCTTCATGTCCTCAACTTAAGTAACCTTAAGTGTGTGTCTCAAGGGCATCACAGCTGAAACCTAACCCTGTCCTCAACTGACATCTACATGTGGACTTTCCATCATGTTTACTGGATAGTAATCGTAGTTCTCTGTTTTCTACTTTTACTCATTAAGCTTTAATACAAAAGCCAACCCCAAACTGGAGAAAGAATCATACTCTTTTGTGATGTTTTACATAATCCTGGAAGGATTCCAAGCAGGAATATCTTTGGATTCACATGTATCCCAACTGCTGACACCATACTTCTGTAGTTGGTTATAATGTACTCTTTGATTTTTACTCCCTTGCGGTTACTCAGAAGTTATCTATTCAGTATATACTGTCAGAATGTACTAGACCAGCATACTCTTAAAATGTCCATTGACCATGAATCTTGATGTGAGTAGCATATTTTAGCAAATTATAGTTACCAACTAATATATTATGTGAAAAATTCCCCCCCGTACAATTGTAATTGCATCATTGTGAGTTATATTCCAATAGCATGCATTAATATTCCATCTTACAAAATAAATACATTTTGTATATAAATAGCTTATACATGTTCTAAATTTCTACGGAAAGTTTATAAATAAATTGGCTTATGAAGCAATTTGAAGTTAACTCTTTAACTGGAGACAGGTCAACTGTAAATAAAATGCCAGTGAAATCAATGTCTTCCACTTGCTAGAGTGTCCATGAGTATGAGTGACCTCCTTTTGTGCTGTAAATATTCTATTAACTTAGAATATTAAATTCTTCTTAATTATATGGTACTGTTCTATAACAAATGTTATATATTGATTCTAATATTTTTGCTGTCTTTTGCTTTGCTTTTTCTTGTGCCTTCAGTGCAGAGTAGACGAGGTGAGATCAAATGTTTCTGTTTATATTTTAATAAAATGGCTCAATTGGAGTTAGAATACTGTTATGAGTATGTGCCACAAAACCTTGGGATCCAAGTTTTATCTTGTGTGTGGAAGAGCATGTCATTTTGTTCATTGTGATTGCTACAGTTTGTACACACTTAATTTATTAGTTTTATTCTTTCTGGTTAAGTGTGTGCATTTGTCTCTATCTTTGTGGACTGTTAGATCAAAAAAATAAAGATGGTGTTGCCTCCAGGGTGTGGTCTGCATATACCAGAATTATTACAGTATTCTTGTAGCATTACCAGCAATGAAGCTGAGCAAAATATTATGCAATATGCCATCCGTATTCTAAAATTCTACTAAAGATATTTTAGCTTTAAGGTCCTTTTGATTTGCCTTCTTTCTCTCTGAGCAAACCTAGATAAAGCTAGTTTAAAACCACTCAACCAATAGGTATTTTTTGAATACTCAAATTCAGTATTATAACCTTAATTAGAGCTTGCACTCAAATCAGTGCCCACCAATTATCTTTGTGTTTATCAGAAGTGCTTGTGATCCTGCAACCTTTGAATGCTGGGCTGAGTATTGTGTTCCAGGCGCATGAAACTTGCCTGTATGATTTTCTACTAACTGACTTGCACTTCCAGTTCTACTTGTTAAAGCGAGGGTAGCCTTCTATCCAATTGTTTAAATCAGTTATTCACTTAATTTTTCTCAAATATTGCATAACTAAATGCTAAGTTGTCTAAAGTGGTAAAACATACACTGGTTTAAACTGGAACATATTTCAGTCTAGAAGAGTGTTGGAATACATTTTCTTCTTTTTGCGTACATTTCTTCTGTTCCAAACATTTAGCAGATAGGATAGAAATGAAAGGGTGTTGATTAAAAGCCATGGTTGAAGAGACATGTTTGTAAATGTCTACAAAGGAAAGGGGTATTGAGGCAGAGATTTTGGAAGAGTTCCAGGGCAGCTAATGAAGGTTCATCTTCAATGGAAAGAATGAGGAGCAAGCATTGATGAGTAGATATTGGTAGACTAGGGCTGTATGAGATTGCATAGATAGCAAGGAGTGACACTGTGAAGGGATTTGAAGTTAAGGATCACAATCTGTCAATCCACTATGATATTGGGAGTCAATGAAGTTTGATAGAGTGGGAGTATTGGATGTACACAGCCTAATCTGAGAGAGAAGATGTTTGGATGAATTGAAGCTTAGGAGGTTTGTGAGGCTGGAAGGAACAGCATTAGAGAAGTCTTTACCCAAAGCGATTTGAGTTGTTTCAACAGTGATGGAGGTGAAGTAAGGGCATAAGCAGGCAATATTTCAGAGTGGACAAATATATTAGCAATGGGCTGGTTAAGGAAGCTCAATCACAGCTGAAAGTCAACTAGAACGTAAAGATTATGCACCGACTAAGGTTGAACAGCTCCCTTCCTGCTCCCTCAGGCTTGAAATCGTACAATTTGCAAACAGGAAATAATCCTTGCGTTTGATACACACTTAATTTATAAATTTGTCTCTTCATGTTATCAAAACATCTCAAACCCTTCACAGAATTTATTGCAAATCAGTGACTGTATTTGTAGGCAACCACGATAGACAGTTTGTATACATCAGTGTCCCACAAACAGCAGTGAAGTGAATAACCAATTTTACCTGGAGGATTTTGGCAAGGACTAAACCTTGTGCTAATAGCAACAAATAAATGTTTGTGAATGAAATGGTTCAATCTTGTTTGAACACACTTGTTTGGGACACTTGTTTTCAGGCCAAGAAAAGACTCAATAAATCAAAATGTGTAACTATTAGGAATTTTAAAAAAATTTCTTTGTGAATCTTATAATTTCATTCAGAAATCACAATTGCTTAATGATGGGCTTAGGAATAATGGAGGCATGGCCTTCACTTAGTTCAGAGTCCTGGGTTATTCTACATAATGTGGCCTGTGAAGACAGATTGGAGTAGAAAGATGGAAAGTATTTATTTAATTTAAATTTTACCCTAAAGCTTCCTGATTGGAGTGTGACTACTTTTTTGAGCTGTCATGAGTTTGACCTGAATGCTATTGTACTGCTGTAAGAAATGAGCACTTTTTTAAAATCTCTTGATCACTGGATTCTTTGGCCAAACAAGGGATTTGTTCTAATTGTGTGCCTCTAATATTCCTTCTACAGATAAAGCTTCCCCAAGGAGGTCGCCCCGTAAGCGAGCAACGAGAACTGTTGGTTCAGACGAGTAACTTTAGTTTTTACCGTCAGTGTTTTATCCTGTCCATTTTGTTGAGCCATGGGGATAACACAGAAATGCCATTTAAAACGTATCAAATTGAAAGAGAAATCAATGGACTGAGACGCAAAACCATTCAAGAATACATATTTGTGGACTAAAGAGCTCTTCAGAAAAATGTGCACTGTTGTAATTTAGTTTACAAGAGAATTGTTTGTTTTAATCATTTCAACTTGTTTTGGGCTTTTACAACTGGTCTTAATTCTTGGACAACCTAAAGTGACATAATTCCACAGAGAATGTTTGTTTCCAGCCATCTATCTACTTTGTTTGTGGATATTTTTAGAAATGAGAAATACTCACAAAGATTCTGATTGGGTGGCTAAATGCCTTTTGCTTTCTGATCTTTAAAGTGGCTGCCTGTTCTGACATCTTGATCTGTTTTTGTGGATCTTGCATAGACTATTTCATGTAAATGGTTTAGGATGATACTTTGTGATTTTGTTTTTGATATATGCATACCTGAAGTGAATGTTGGCTGTGGACATGTGGGCATCTTTCTCCCATTTTCTAAACTCTTGCGATTCATTATTCCTGGACCAGTGAAAGAGTATTCCTGAACCATGGAAGAGAAACCATTGTAAAGACTTTGATTTTTGCTCCACTGTTACACTAATCCCATAACAGTGAAAGGAATGGAAATGTAAACGATTGTATCTCCCGAAACTAAACATAGGCTGTTTCTGATAGTTTTGTATTCTCACCTATATCTGAATGAGGATTTTGTATGGTTTTGTCAATAACTTGGAATTCATGGAGGTTGTTTGGTGATTCAAGGCTGGAAATGGCAAACGTAGCTTACAAATTGAAAACTGTCAGTAATTACTGCAAAATATACTTGAACAAAGTTCACAAATTTAGATCTGCATTAAGAGCTTTTCAACATCAAAACGATTATGGAAAAGAAATGGCTTTTTTTTATATAAGTGGCTAAGAAAACATTAAAGTAAACAAACTGAGGTACCATATACCTTGCTCATTTATTTTTCCTGAAGGTTTTTCTTGTTTTCAATGAGAGATTCCTTCATCAAATGTTGTTGTTTTGCATTGCAGAGTGACCAGCCAATGTTTAATGTTTCTTCTTCCTTAACCCTCCTTCAATTCCCTCCATATTCCACTCCGGGAGTCCCGAGTAGTGTCTTGGCAAAATATTTTTTTAATTTAATGGAGTGGTGGTGGAATACGTATCATGAATTGATACTGGGATTTGCAGGATTGTGGTGTGAATTGTTTTGTGTGGCGATAATTTGCCTCAATCACATTCTTTTGGGGGTTAAACTACTTGTACTCCTGTGAATGATATGTTTAAGAATTAATTTCTATTTGTTTTTCATCCTCGAATGCACAGCAGATAATGCTTGCATTTATGCTATAAGCCTGATCCAGCTACTTAGCAGGAAAAATGATTTTAAAAATAGCATTACAACTGCACCTCAATGTGTTTATGCTTTCATTCTCAATACTGCTTTCTTGCCTTCTGGAGCTAACCCCGCCTCCCTTCCTCTATTGATTTATGTTGTTCTTGACATAAGTTTGTCTTCATCTATATAAAACAAAAACTTCCTGTGATTCACTTTGACTGAAGTTCATTTGGTGAAATTCTGGGAAACTTACAAAGACACCAACCTACATACTGATAAATTATTTTAGACATTTCCACTTTTTCAATTTTAACGATTACAATTTTAACAGCAAATCTTAAACCTGACCACAATAAAATGGACAAATAGGCCTTCGAGCAATATTTACACAGTTCTCATGGGAGTCTGCTAATAGTAAAATATTAGCTGGAGCCAAGCATCGCAATCTGGTACAGAATGCCTAGAACAGGTGCACCAAGTCTTTTCCCCCTCTGTGCCATCCAGTACATCATTGATGAATACATTGAACATGCCTGATAATAATCCCTCCAGAAAAAAAATAATACAATGGTCATTTCAAATCCACGACTGTTTGTGGGACACTGCTGTGCGCAATTGGTTGCCGCGTTTCACCTACAAATATACAGTCTATTCTGTGAAGCGCTTTGAGACGTCTAGAAGACATGAAAAGCGCTATATCAAATGCAAGTATTATTGAATAAGTTGGGTGACAGCCTTGCCATCCCCCACTTTCAAGACAGATGGGCTCTGAGTCTATCATCAACCCTTATCGGAGTCCTGTAGCTCAGTGGTTAGAGCACTCGCTTTGGAAGCAAGAGACCTGAGTTCAATTCCAGGCAGGGCGAAACCTTGGGCAAGTTTCCTTACTCTACACACCTAATAATAATCCCTCCAAAACCAATAATAAATTGGTCATTTTCAATCTACGACTGTTTGTGAGACATTGCTGTGCGCAATTGGCTGCCGCGTTTGCCCACAAATATACAGTCAATTCACTTTACAGTGTGTTCTGTGAAGCGCTTTGGGTCGTCCTCCCGACGTGAAAAGCGCTATATCAAATGCAAGGATCATTATTATTATACAGATTTTGGAGTTTGAATACACACAAATAAAATTCAACATTTGGCAAAGTACTCCATTGCTTCCAGTTTCATCATGAGCTCGAAAGCCTTGTGGAAATTGATGAATGCAGTACAGGTGTGTTTCTCCTGAGCCTTGTGAGGTTCTACAATCGTGTACAAAGCAACAACCTGGCCACATACACTCTTCATGAAAACAGAATCCAACCTGCTCCTTCATAATCAGAAGGGTGAGTAGCATATTTTAAGTAAAATCGTAAAAAAAATCTTCAGAATCCAGAAACTGGGACTCAATATTTTCTTAACTTGTGGAAAAGCTTTGAAAATAATATATGGGTGATCATTGTGGATGGTTATCAGTGAAGGTAACTGTTCATGTAAATTTAATGGACTGATGCAAGCCTAACTACTAGAGAATCTTCAGCTGCTACGCCCCAAAACTCTCCCTCAATCCCTCTGCCTGCCCCCTGCCTCCCCACTTTAAAATCCCACCTAAAGACTTTACTTTTTGATTGTGCTTACGGTCACCTCTCTTCCCCCTGGCTTATGGTCAGATTCTGCCACTGTTAAGCGCTCTGGGACGCTACCCCAAGTGTAGGGTGCTATATAAATGCAAGCTGTAGAAAAATTCTACAAAAAATGATTTCCAATTCCGCGTGCCAACAATGTTAGGTGGTTACTCTGACCAAATACAGCAGGAACATTCACTTGAAAAGTTCCATGAAAGATTTGACTAATTTACACTTGCAAAATTGCCAATACAATAGTTCTCAGAAGATTGAACTGTGAATCTAATTCTGTTTCACGGTGGGACATTATTAAATGAATGAGGTTTAATGAATGCTGAGCTGTGCTTTCACTCTATTTAACAAGGTGATATATCTGCATTGATATCTTGTAGTTAATTTATTAGCTTAAGGTATAGGAATGTAGTATAAACAGTCATGCTTTTAAAAATCCCCAATCTGAATTGTAAGGCCCTTTTTTCAGACATTTTTCAGAAGTCCATCATAACTGCAAAACAGGAAGTGAGACGAGCTCCAGTCAACTAGCGTGAGTCGCAGGCAAAGGATTCTATACAATTGAAAAGTTACTGACCAGAATTTTCAATATTAAAATATCCTGTAGTATTTTATTTTTAAGTCTGTTTTTAATCTTATATACTAGCAGCAGAAGAATGATTGTCATTGGTACTTATTAAAATTAGGTATCAGCCTGTCTTTTGAGTCAGTCGGGGGGGGTGGGGTTCAAGCCCCATGTTGGGAATTTTGAGCTTAACTAGTCTAGGCTAATACTCCCAACTCAGTGTCAGAGATGTAGAGTGCCCAAGTATAGTGAGTATACTGCTCAATCCGTGAACTATGATTTTACTCATGACACATAGCAATATATCCAAATTACTAAAATCTGATAAATCTGCACCTAACAAGCAATTAGATATTAAACAGGAGCACACACAAACTGCAGCCTCTGTTCTCAAACTCCTAATAATCAATTTTACTAAAATACACAAAACAGAAAGCAGAACCTGATCTAAAAATAAATTCAAAATATTTTAATATTAGAGATGTAGAGTCCTTGTGTCGTAATTTGGGGTTGTGTTGTACACCTCTGCCTCAAGGATAGCAAAACAACATCAAATTTACATTTATGTAACCCTTTCATGTTAGGAGGATATACCAAGCCACTAAACAGACCATATGCAACTGAGTTGGGGATTGGAACCAAGTGGTATTGGGAGCTGAGAGGGTTGGGGACACTCTGGGATGCTACTCTGTCTGAGGGGCACTATATAAATGCAAGTTGTGGGGTGCGAGAGAGTTGACTGAAGACATGGTCAAAGTAGCTGTGGGACGGGCAAGTTGTAGAGACTCCAGGATGGAGTTCCAGAAAGTGGGGGCAGATACGCTGAAAGCTCAAACATGACTGGTGGGGTAGGTTGGGCGGGAATTCAGTGCTGAATCAGCATGTGGCCAGTGTGACTATTCTACACATCAATAATGTGGCTCACGGGCCGCAGGTTGGCTATCCCTACTTTGGGGGATGGGGACCCAGTGGAGCCAAAAGAGGATGGGGTTGACAGGGTTGCGGAGTCTATTGCGGGAAAAGAGATCAGCTGTTGATTTTGGGATAGTCTGCAGCTTGTGAAGGGAAGCGTTAGATGGTCCTGGGAGCAGAGCACTGGCTTGATTTGATATGAAGAATTAGTAAATTTGGGTCTCGGCAGCATAAGGGGAGAGGTAGAGCCAGAGGTGGGTAATGTTCGGAGTCATACTAAGTGCCAGCTTACCCTCTGTTTTTTTTTCAGTGCCTTGGGATGTTCTCCTGGAGTGAAAGACACTATACAAATGTAATTTATTGTCGTTGTTGTTTTGCCATTGCTGAACACATGAGCAGTTCTGCCTTTTCTCTGACAGACTGACAAGCTGGACAATAAAGCTGAACTAGATTTCCATTAGATCACATAGGGGTCAATCTCTTCAATCCAACCAATCTACACTGAAGCAAAAAGACAGCTGCATTCACCCATTTAAAAAAATAAAACAGTAGTTTATTAACTAATAGATTATTCAAATGAACATCAGCATTTCAAAACATTTGAAATGAAACTAACAAGGTTATCTCAATTTGGTGAACTAGTTTAATTTGTATAAAATTACCCACAATTTTATCTGGTAAATGTGATGCTTGATCAAATATAGTATTTGTGTGTGAACTTCCAACAGTGTCAGAGGCTATTGTACTATAGGGCTCACAACCATTCCCAACTTCTCTGTTGTGCACACAAGCACTTCTGGCAACAACAACTTGCATGTACATTGCCCCCTTCACATAGGATAAGGTCTCGTAATGCTTCACAGTGACATGGTTGGATGTAACCAAAGAAGAAGGGAGGTGACAAGGCACAGTCAAAGAGGTAGGTTTTAAGGAGGATTTTAAAGATAGTGAGGGGTCGAGGTGGAGGGATACAGGCAGAGAGTTTCAGAGGGGAGAGGAATAATGTCTGAAAGTACGACCACCGATAGTGGCACGGAGAAAGTAGTGCTCAGTTGTGTTAGCTGAGCAGAGAGGGCAGACAGAGGAGTGGGGTATGAGCAGTTCAGTGAGATTCTCGGACTTAGAGGGATTTATATGTGAGGACGAGAACCTTGAAGTTGACATGTTTGGAATCAGTGGAGCCTGGTGCGGATTGAGGTGGTGGGTGAGTGGAGTTGGTTCAGATAAGGATACGGGGAATGGAATATTATCCACACGCTAGATCTTGTGGAACTGGGAGATCAGCAAGTAGTGCATTTGAGAAGTCGAGGCTGGAGGTGACACAAGCGTAGATTAGGCTTTGGTGGCAATTGGTGAAGAAGGAAGGAGAGCTGAGGATTGAACCAGATGATGAGGTTGTGCGCTGCTGAGTTTGAGCGATAAACCAGGGAGGTTGGGGAAGTCAGGAGGTGAGCCAAGAAGGATTGTTTCCGTCTTGTCCATTTTAAGTTACAGAAAGTTAATGCTCAACGTCCCTGATATCAGATGGGCAGAACATCTATGGACCTGGAATTGAGAAGAAAAGTGGAAAAGTAGATTTGAGTGTCATCCGCATACATATAGAAGTTTAACCCCATGTCTGCAGATGATGTCACCAAGAGAAAGCATGTGGAGGGAAAGGAGTGGACTGAGAAAAGAGCCTTGAGGTACTCCACAGGTACGAGAGTGAGGGAGGAGAAATTATTGGAGGAGACAGATTGCAACATTGCCTTCTTATTTTGGTCCTCTTTCTTGACTTGCATTTTTACCTTCTCTGTTGCTTCTATGTTCATATTGCTTTGTATGTCAGGTGTTCCCATTCCCTTTTGATGGACTCTGTCAGGTTTAGAGTGTGTCTGAGGTTTACAGTTATTCCCATGTTAGTGCTTGGCTACTTTGACATTATTCGGATGTTCCTCAATGCGGCAAGTGGTAAACTTGAGTCATGGAAATAGCCTTTTAGAAATAAGCTTTTTACCACATGGGAAGTATATGGAAAATATGAAGTTAAATTGTTTCAAGTGGCTTTCCCCTAAATGAACATCTAAATCTCCCAACCTAAAAGTCATAATCCAGAACCTCAATTTGTGTC